GGAAAAGAAAAAATATGAGAAAAGGAAAAGAATGGAAACAAAGTCTTTGCAAATAGGGAAGGGTGGAGGGGGTGAAGGGAGGGCAGGGGAAAGGGGAAAATAAAAGAACCAAGATACTCATGTAATGGTACAAGATCCCAGTGATGTTTTTAACTGTATTTTATACTAAAATGTACCAATAAACTTAATGGGGAAAAAAAAAAGAATGCATTGTTACTCTATTACATGGTCACGTTATTGAAATTTGCAGTTATAGGAGGATTTCTAGCCATGAATAATAAAGGAGAAAAAGCTCCCAAAGAGTTTTTAATTGCTACTAGAGGATTGAGAAGGTGCCTCCTCAGAGATTTTTAAAGAGCCATGGAAACTCTTCGTGATCACTTTGGGCTATAAAGAAAATAAATCACATCTTCTGTAGAAATAATGATTTCTCTTGTAAAAAAAAAAAACCTTGAGTTTAAAAGTCATGTACTGGGCTTGTTTTCAGGTTCTTAGTGTTACGTATTTCCAAAGTAAAAAAAAAAAATTTAGAGATCTATTTGAAAATTATGGATGTGATGTGATAGTGACTACTGAGATTCATTATCAAGAATTGATTTGGTACACTGAATTAAAAGAATGATCATGTCTATCAGAGGCAGACTTGGGGTATAAAAAAGTCTAGAGTCATGTGCTAGTTCTGACCTGCATAACTAGTGTCACACATGATTGTCTTCAGATGGCGCATTATGTTAAAAATCAAATAGCTTCTGAGTTTAAGTGGATAGCCAGTATTCACATGCTAAACATTGATATAAATGAGCACCTCATAATAAATTCTGTGGGAATACACTCTCTGTGCTGAAGTAAATAAAACAATACATGGCATGTACTGATAGAACTCTTTTTAGACACTATATACCAGTGATGGAACTTTTAGAGCTTTCAGTAATACAAACAGCCTGCTGTGACACTTGTGCTATAGGTTCACCCCCACTACTGTAAGTTTAAGGAAAAAGTTCTCCAAAATTATGGTTCTATAACAAATTAGCATTAATACCAAGTTATGTTTTATTTATAAGTTCATAATTTTGTAAAGCAAACCAAAAGAAATGGATCTTTTTTGGAACTAGCATTCTTCCTAACTCACTCTTATTTTCTCTTACAGGCAGAGAATGGGTCTACCCTACATGTATGACCAATGTAAACAGATGCTATTTGTTTCCTCTGAGTTAAAAAGGCTTCAGGTATCTTATGAAGAGTACCTCTGTATGAAAACCTTACTTCTTTTCTCTTCAGGTTGGTAGAATACCTAGTCACTTCAGCATGAAATATGAAAGTCTAGAAATAAAAGTTTACATACATATAATGCCAAGATTAATGAGACAAATAGGTACAGGAGAAATATGTACCTCAGCTGTTCAAGGAGTGCTGTTAATCAGAATTTGGGCATATGGCTTTCTCCTTCTTTCAATAAAACTACTATATGAAACATGGAGAAATAAAACCAACCACAATAATTTTGTTTCTCTTGCTGTTACTTGTTACCTAAGGAGTACTACCTCAATAAGTAATAAAAGAAAGGTCTAGAATTCAAAATATACAAAGAATTCTTAAAACAACAACATTTTAAAAATTGACCACAAACCTTGACAGGCATCTCACCAAAGAAGATAAATGATGGCAATTAAGTATATGAGAAGATGCTTCCCATAATATCATCAGGAAAATTGAAATGTAAAATAACCACCACCAAATACTGGCAAGGATATGGAGCAACAGGAATTCCCATTCATTGCTAATGGGAATGCAAAATGGTACAGCCATTTTGGAAGACAGTTTGGTGGTTTCTTACAACTACTCTCTTACCATATAATTTAGCAGCTGCACCCTTTGGTATTTACCCAAGAGAGTTGAAAATATATGTTCACAGAAAACATCCACATGGATGCTTATTAACAGCTCTATTGATAATTGCCAAAACTTGGAAACAACTAAGACGTTCTTGTAGGGTGAATGGATAAAAAACTTGTACATCCAGATGAGGGAGTATTATTCGGCACTAAAAAGAAATTTAAGAAACCTTAAATGTACATGACTAAGTGAAAGAATACAATCTGAAGGGCTACATGTTATATGAGTCCCACATTCTATATTAAAAGATCAGTGATTGTGAGGGATTGGGGGGAAAGGAGCACAATAGGATTTTTAGGGGAATAAATGTGTTCTATATATTACTAGGATGTTGGATACATTTGTTCAAACACATAGAAGGTGCACCACCAAGAATGAACACTAAACTATGGACTTTAGGCAGTAATGAGGTGTCATTATAGATTCATCAGATGTAACAAATATACCTCTCATGGAAAGATGTTGATAATGGGGGTGGACAGCACATGAGAACTCTCTGTACCTCCCTCCAATTTTGCTATGAATTTAAAATAGTCTTTTTAAAAGGGAGCAGCCTATAAACCAGTTAGAAGTTACTGTTTATGAAACACCAAGTTAGTGGCTGAATCTCCTTTTAGATACTAATGAGTAAATTTGTAATTTCTATAAATTACATTAGTAATTATGGATTCATGGTTGCCTGTAACTTCAAGTTATGGACATTGCTCATGTACCATAACCATCTCCAATGCACAAACCTCTATTAATGCTTTCATACTGTCTTTGCACTTACAATGTTTAACTGAGATAAAGATTAATATTTCAATCAAAGCAACAAAATTTTCCATAACCCAGCAAAAAATTATAAGTAAAGACCATTGCTAAAGACTTGATTAATGTCACCTGCAAAACACTTGTTAAAGAACCTGGTGTTTCAGTTACATAAAGTTCTGATCAAACAGATCAGTGTCTAGACACCAAGAACTTAACTTGTAAAAAGTAATGGTTTAGATTTCACACATATCAGACTAAGCTGTATGTATTCTTTTCATTGTAGATATAAGCTAAATTGAACTAGTACTTATTAGATTCTTTTTTTTAAAAAAGTATAAAATCAAAAGGATAGAAAGATATATCTTATGGTATAAACTTTAACTTTACAGAATACTGGTACAGAACAACAATGGTGGTCTTAGAAACCAGAATTTAAGGTTCATCCTAAAGCTAGTTTTCTCTTGCAGAACTTGTTTATATTAGTATATTTAGTAAGACAAGGATCAGAAATATAAGTGGAATTGAAAAGCAATCGATGGATCTAAAAACTGATTATAGACATCTGAAGAGACTCTTGGACTGACATATGTATCTGAAATCATCCAGAATACTTTTTTTTTTTTTTTTAAGTACTGGGCATTGAACTCCGGACCTTGCGTTTGCGAGGCAGGTGCAGTGCCACTAACCTAAATCCCTGGCCCCAGAATACATTTTAAAAAGTGTGTATGTTTGTGTGTATAATGAAGAAAAAAGCTATAGTATAGAACCTGAAAATCAAACTTTTTTTTTTAATGTACCAGAGAACTGTCACAGGGCAAACCATCACCTCAAAATATGGAGAAATAGGCAAATTCAGAGAAGTAGCCAAGGTCAGTTTACTGGGAATACAAGCCTCCAGCCAGTAGTGCTAGGAAGCCTATTGGAATTTGAACGCATTGCTGGAGGCTGAATAAAGAATGGAAACTCCCAGAAATCCAGTGTTGTCCATACTTCTTTAGTTTTTACCTTCAGAAACTTATGGTGATGATGACAGAAAAAAAATCTTTCATTTTTCTGGTGGTACAAGGGAGAGGATAAACATTTGGATATACGTGGTACATGTTCTTTGTGTTAAAGGTTTGCCATCTGAGGGACCTATTTCTACCAGGGCCTTGTTTGACCTACAGGAAAAACCAAGTAGAGAAGTTTCAGCCCCTTCTGGCCTTCCTGTCTCTTGCAGGAGGGGAGAAGAAAAAGTAAGAACTATTTCTGAATCCCCAGGGACGCAGGACCAGTAAAATAGCTAAGATTTAATCCTAAAAAATTACAAAACACTTCACCTCTCCAATACTTTAACCAGCATATCAGTATAGTAACAGTGGATTGCAGCTGAAAGAGTAATTGCAGGACACAAGCTATAAGCATCACTTCTGATACATCTTTCAACAAAAAACTATAAAGCATGCTCAGAGGAAGAAACAAATCAGTTTGAAGAAAGCAAGCATTAAAATTAGTCCAAAATGCTACAATTATCAGATAGTGAATTTAATTATATATTAAGGACTATCATGGAAAAATTAGAATGCATGCAAGAACAGATGGGTAGTATAAGGACAGAGGAGACAACTCAGAATGCTAAGGAATTCTCTAAGGAAATGCTAGAGTTAAATGTAAGAATACTGGACATAGCTAAGGAAACAAATCAGTGAACATTAAGATAAATAGAAAGTTCCCGAACTCAAATGCAAAGAGAAAAAAGAATGAAAAATAAGGAAGTATGAAAACCAGAAGAGAAAAAATAAGGGAAAAAGTATTTGAAGTAGAAGCTGAAAATTTTCCAAAGTTAATGACATTCACCAAAACTTATATCCTGAAAGCTCAGAACACCAAACTAAACAGCAAAAAATCTGTACCTTGTAAATTCTACTTAATAGTAGAAAACCAAAGACAGAAAAATCTCACAAGAAAAAACAGCTTACATATTTTAGACTTCTCATCAGAAACCTTGCAAGCAAGAAGAAAGTGAATTAAAATACTTAAAATGTTGAAAGAAAAAACTATCAATCCCAAATAGTGTGTACAGCAAAATTATCCTTCAGAAGTAAAGGAGAAAGACTTTTTCAAACAAAATTGAGGGAATTTGTTACCACCATTAAACTTTTCTTGCATGACATGTTAAAAGAAGTTTTTTAGAGGAAAAGAAAATGATACGTCAGAAACATAGATCTATAAGAAAACACAGATCTATAAGAAAGCATTCGAGAACAAATACATAAAGCTAAAATAAAATTTCATTTTTCTTCTTAGTTGGTCTAATAACTGTTCAAAGTAATTCTGATGAATTGGATGATTTAAAACATGATAAATGAAATGAATGGCAGTCTTGTAATGCTTTGTTTATAAGGTACCTATATTATTACCTATGAAGTTGCATAGTGTTTTTTTGAAAAGGGTCATACTGTACATTAGCTGCAAATATATGTTGCAAACTCTAAGGCAGCTACTGAAAACAAAGGGAGGGGCCAGGGATTTAGCTCAGTGGTTCCAGAGCCTGCCTCGCAAGTGCAAGGTCCGGCATTCGATCCCCGGTACCAAAATAAGTAAATAAATAAAAATAAATAAAAACAAAGGGAGTAGTAATATACTGTAAGAAAATGTAATTATGAAATGCTCAATAAAATCAGAAGGCAGGAAAAGATAAGGAAAACAAAGTAATGAATAGAAAATAGTTACAAACATGGTAGACATTAATCCAGTTATAGCCACAATCATTTTAAAATGGTCTAAATACATCAATGTTCTATTTTAAAATGAGGATAAAAAATGTTTGCCAACACAGACCATCACTAAAATGTACTAAAGAATAAACTTAGGGGGCCGGGGATTTAGCTCAGTGGTTTCGCCGCCTGCTACGCAAGCGCAAGGACCTGAGTTTGATCCCCGGTACCAAAAAAAAAAAAGAATAAACTTAGGGAAAGGAACGTCATCTTTAAAAAGGAATTAAGAATGAAGAAAGTGGTCAATACACAGATATATTTATTATGTATTCTATATAAGTTATCATGTCTTCAGTGGTTTAAAAATAGAACTAAAATATGCAATAGTATGATAAATAATATATGCAATAATAAAATACACAATAATTGCATATAAACTCAGGAATTCAATAATAATGCTTAAATTTCAGAGATTACTGGAGTATGCAAATTAACAAACCATTGAGGGACTAAAAGGAGGGAGCATAACAAAAAGCAATCCAAATGAAGAGGAGGGGGGGAGCCTAAAAAGGGGCAAGATAAGGTAGTACAAATAAATTCATAATTTCTGTAGAGATTAACTAAACCCTCCTAGCTTAATTGAAAGATTGGATTTTTAAAATAATCCAACTTTATGCTATTTACAAAAATATTTAAATGAAGACATTGGAAGGTAAAATAGAAGGGTATCCAGTACAATGGATAAGAGATGGAAAATTTCTATAAAGGGCAAGCTGAGAAACACTTTGAACTTCCCAGTCTCTGTCATAGTTCCTCAACTCTGTCTTTATGGGATGAATATGGTCATTGATACTTAAAACAGAAGTCTAAAAACTACAATACAGTATTTCTGAGAAGTCCTGAAATTCAGAAATCTGCCAAACTTTGTTTTTATTAAACATTTAGCTTTTTTAAAAGTCCACCCCACCCCTGCACCCCAGCCACTGTTAACCCAAAACTAATGTTCCTAGATGCACATTTTGAGAAATACAGCAAAGTTATGATTCCTGCAAGATTAAATGACCATGGTTAGTCTTCTGTTCATTATCTTCAAATACCACTAATTTTTAAATTCACCAAGAATTTTATATCAATTTTCCAATCCAGATTCCATGAGCTATTTTTAATATGTATAAGTTTAAAAAAGGCAGATATTTGCAGTTTCTTTTTAGGCTGGAATCATACCAACTCAGTATGGTAGCACATTTTAAAAAATGTATTGCATGCCCATGCTCCTAAGTGTAATCTCAGTACTCCGGGATGCTGAGTCAGGAAAAACACAAATTCAACCCCAGCCTGGGCAGTTTAGTAAGATCCTGTTTCAGAAGGGTTAGGGATATAGCTCAGTACAAAGGGCCCCAGTATAGAGTGGTTTGGGAGGATATTGTATACTGATTTCAAAGTTTTAATCAACTGTTGATGCCACAGATATTCTAAGATTTAACTCTTGGAAATAACACTATTGTTGAAGCCTCTACCTCAAAACTAAAATTAAATCTGATTTAATAAATTAATTAAATTTAGCCAAACAAATAACTTTATTAATTCCTTAGTCTTTAAAACAACATTGAGTAAATACAAAGAAAAATGTCATTACCAGTTCCATTTTATACCTTTAAAAAATGATACAGTTAAGACCCTCTATTTTGTGTTCTCTCTTGGCTGCAGTCTAGCAATCCTTTGAAAATACTTATATTTTAGAATGCATTAAGGTAACTATGAAGTGTGGTATTAAATGCCATACTCGGTGTATAAAAATATTACAGCAAGGAAATTCTTCAATTGACTTCATCTTAACCTTTTAGTTCCTAAGGAAGGTTTGAAGAGCCAAGAGCTATTTGATGAAATTAGAATGACCTACATCAAAGAGCTAGGAAAAGCCATTGTCAAAAGAGAAGGAAACTCCAGCCAGAACTGGCAGAGGTTTTATCAGCTGACAAAACTTTTGGACTCCATGCATGAAGTAAGTGTCACACATAAAGCCATAATATACAAGAATTTTGTGATATAAAGTATATTTTTATTAGTGTATATAATCATATACCAGTGGTCTTCTCTGCCCCTACACTTAGCCCCCAACTTATGAACTTCAGTTGTGCATATATTTTTCCTAAGGCTAATTATGAAATATTTCATCTATTTGTGTGTATAAAAAATACAGTTTAATACAGAAATTTTTAAATGGTAGAATTCCATTTTTGTTTGAATAGTCTATTAAAATAACATGGCCTTCATATATTCTAGACTGAAATTAAGCATAAAGCACTTAATTCCATACATTTTTACATTTAAATTTAAAATGTCTTTTGTAGTTAAGTGCTTATTTGACTAGACTTTTCCACCTGGAGAATTCTAGTAAAGACTGGTATAATAGTGTGACATGTTCATCCTAATCAATTTTGAATCCTAATTACCCTGTATCTTCTCTTGCAGATAGTTGGAAATCTCCTTAACTATTGCTTCCAAACATTTTTGGATAAGACTATGAGTATTGAATTCCCTGAGATGTTAGCTGAAATCATCACCAATCAAATACCAAAATATTCAAATGGAAATATCAAAAAACTTCTATTTCATCAAAAGTGACTGCCTTACTAAGAAAGATTGCCTTAAAGAAAGTTGAAGTTTTAGCTTTTATTGTACAAACTATCAATTTGTCTTGTAGACGTTTTGTTGTTTTTTCCGTCTGTTTTGTTGTTGTTGTTGTTAAGTATGCACTACATGTGGTTTATAGAGGGCCAAGACTTGGCAACAGAAGGAGGTGAGTCATCACTTTAAAGTGATGGGTAAGTAGATACTGAAATTTATTATTTGGAATATCCTAGAAATTAGAATAATGTGAGGGTAATCTCCACCATCAGAGAAAGATGACACCTGAACCACCAGTGCCCAAAGTCTGTGTAATGAACTTTGTGCTCATACTTTTCAGCTGGCTGGATACAACTTTCTAGACTTTTTGTTGGTGTATTTTCCCATGTATAATTAGGGTAGCATTTTTGATTTATGCATGGAATCCTGAAAAAAGTTTACAAGTGTATAGCAGAAAAGGGAAGTTGTGCCTTTTATAGCTTTTACTGTCTGGTTTTAACAATTTCCTTTATATTCAGTGAACTACGCTTGCTCATTTTTTCTTACATAATTTTTGTATTCAAGTTTATTGTACAGCTGTTTAAGATGGGCAGCTAGTTCATAGCTTTCCTTAATAAACTAAACATTAATCTGCGTGAAAATGGGTTGGTGCTTCTAACCTGATGGCCCTTAGCTATCAGAAGACCACAAAATTGACTCAGATCTCTAGTATTCTTGTCAAAAAAGCTCATATTTTGTATATATCTGCTTCAGTGGAGAATTACATAGATTGTGCAAATTAACCATTCTAACTGGTATAGAGCACCTAATCCAGTGACCTGCTGGGTAAACTGTGGATAATGGTTACAAAAACTAATTTTAAAAAATACTTACCAAAAGGCCCTGTTTTTACCCAGTTCCCTACCTCTGCAGTGGTTAGATGGCAAGAAAGTTGGTAAACTAAATGTCTTTTGGGACCTTTTGAAGTAGTGTGTATAACTTCTTAAAAGTTATGATTCCAAATAACCAGCTGTAACACAGCTGAGAGATTTTTTTAATCAGACCAAGTAATTCCTCTCACCAAACTTTACCCAAAAACTAAATGTCTAATATGGCAAAAGTGGCTAGACACCCATTTTCACATTCCCATCTGTCACCAATTGGTCTATCTTTCCTAGTGGTACAGGAAAGCTCAGCTACTGATCTTTGTGACTTAGAATTGAATGTCAGACATCTATGTTTGTGGAACTACACATCCCTACATGTGCCATAGAATTTAACACAAGGCCTGTGAATTTCTTCACTGTTGAGAATTATTTTAAAACAGAAGCTGTAGTAGCCCTTTCTGTGCGCATCTTACAAACTTTCTGTAACCTCAAAACTTAACATATTTACTAAGCCACAAGAAATTTGATTTCTATTCAAGGTGGCCAAATTATCTGTGTAACAGAACTGAAAATCTAATATTAAAATATGAAACTTCTAATATATTTTTATATTTAGTTATAGTTTCAGATATATATCATATTGGTATTCACTAATCTAGGAAGGGAAGGGCTACTGCAGCTTTACATGCAATTTATTAAAATGATTGTAAAATAGCTTGTATAGTGTAAAATAAGAATGATTTTTAGATGAGATTGTTTTATCAGGACATGTTATATATTTTTTTGTAGGGGTCAAAGAAATGTTGATGGTTAATCTAAATGATTCATAGTGTGTACAAATATTCATATGGGAAGCAATGGTCTCAAAAATCAAACAAGTCTGTTCTAGGGCAGTGATGGCGAACCTTTTAGAGCTTTCAGTGATACAAACAGCCCTCTGCATCTTGCATGCCATAGGTTCACCACCACTGCTCTAGGGGAAGATGGGAGACTGGCCCTGTGTGCATGAAGGTTGCTGAGGCTCTGACCCAATCAGATCACAGAGGAATTAATTCTTTGCCTCCCCTTCTGACTACCCTTCTCATTCCAAGAGTGAGTCTGTTAGTACAGGTTTAGTTTATTAAATCTCCCCTTGCATTTACAGTGTGTAAACGAGACAGAAAGGTGGTGCTCACATACGTATAGGCATCATCTAACAGCAGGGTTACTTTCACATACAGCCTCTCCAACAGGCTTTAGAAGTTTGGCAATAATGTGCATAGAGGTACCAGCAATATGTAAATAGTGCAGAATCGCATAGGGTGCCAGTAATACACTAATTCCTTTCTATCCTACAACATGAGTTCATTTCCAAGTACAATGAGGACATGTTTGTTTCTTTGAATGCTTTTTGAATGTTATTTGCTATTTTCAGTATTCCAGAGAAATTATTTAATAAAAATGTAATCATTTGCTTTTTGAATGCTCTCTAAAAGGGAATGTTCCTTTTGTAATGGTTTAAATTTTCTCAAAGTACTTTAAGATGGTTTGTAACCCAGCTGGATGTGAATTTATGGTGCCTAAGAAATACCACTTGAATATTAGCAATGACAGTGTTAAGTTTCAAAAAAGAGCTTCTCAAAGTAGATTATTGTTCATTTATAGAATGTTACATGGTTAAAACCAGAAAGCACATCACACTTTAGTCTTTAGTCCCAAGTCAACTGAGTCATAAAACAACTTAAGAGGCTTTTCATTAAATGGAAAAAGAAGCTATGCTCTTTTAGAATATGTGAGAAAGTTACCTAATTATGTTTGACTATTATAATGGATTTAAGTGAAAAATAGTTTGAAAGCAGCTTCAGAGTTGGTGATTCACAACAAATCCAAAAGTATTTTTTAATTACTGGTGGTAAACAATGACCTTCTCAGTGTTTTTCAGCATTGCTGGGGGTTCTGAACCCTCAGCAGAACTGAGGGGCTAAAGACTTGACCTGTCTTTGATACACCCAAATATGCAGAACTATCAGATGGAACCTAAAAGAGCACCTCCTTTCTCTTTGGGGGGTGGGGGCGTGGCCATCCCAAAAGGAGAATTAACATGAGTGTTTGAAGAGCTTCATAATAAGCATAGGAAGAGCTCTGAGCAAGCACACACAGGAAAGCCAGCCTTACTTTAGGATTTGAGGGGTAGACAGGAGGAAATGAACAATTTCATTTTTACTTGTTCTATCATTAGTTCCCCCTTTTAAATACCCTAAAACTACTTCATCATGAAATGAACAACAATGTGATACGCTGATCTGTCCAAATGCAAGAATCATGGTAGCCTTCAGTGAGCTTTTGATCTTGGTTGGTCACCCCAACAACTGCAGCTGTAGATGAATGTGTTTTTATGTGCCTGGTTTCAGTGTTCAAAGGGAAAAATAAACATGTACAGTGAACACTTTAAACCACTTTGGATGAAAGTTTTGTCATGTTCCAGACTATTTTCAATCAACCTGGTCCACCGAGGATTAGTGACCAGGTTTTCAGGAAAGGATTAGTTTCTCTCTAGTAAATGTCTGAAAGATTTTATTTTCTGATAAAAGGCTGTTTGAAAATACCCTCCTGAAATAACTTGCTTAACTACATATAGATTCAAGTGTGTCAATATTCTATTTTGTATATTAAACAAATGCTATATAATGGGGACAAATTATATTATACTGTGTATGGCATTATTAAGAAGCTTTTTCATTATTTTTTATCACAGTAATTTTAAAATGTGCAAAAATTAAAACCAGTGACTCCTGTTTAAAAATAAAAGTTGTAGTTTTTTATTCATGCTGAATAATAATCTGTAGTTTAAAAAATGTCTTTTTACCTACGCAGTGAAATGTCAGACTGTAAAGTGTGGAAATGTTTAACTTCTATTTTTCATTTAAATTTGCTGTCTGGTATTATCAAACCACACGTTTGTACTGAACTGGCCGTAAATGTTAGTTAGCCATTTACAGCAATGCCAAATATAGAGAAACATCATAATAAAACTCTGCTTTTTCATTATGTGACTCCCAACATGCTTTTGTAAAACCTGTGCAGTTCAAATTTTCTGACTTTTTTTTCTCCTACTGAAGGTACACTTTAGGAAATTTAAGATGATAAAGTGGACCTTTAAATGACAGTGTGGCAGTGTATGCATGCTAACATGATGTAAATTCAAAATGAGTTAGTTTTATACTGATGTCAAAAATTATCCAACCCATGCCTCAAACGGCTATGTAACTATTAATGCAAAGAGTACTGAGGGAAGGAAAAGACGAATCCCTGAGGCTCCTGCAAATACAAGTTCTTAACATAAAAGATGACATGTAAACAAATGTTTTCTAGTTAAGAATTTTTTAAACTCCACTCTTTCTCTGAGGAAAGGTAATAAACACAATATAGCAGTGTTGTACAGCACAGAAAATAAAGGCAGAGAGGGAAAAGCAGTAAAGCTATTCTATACAGTCTATTCAGTATCTTCTAAAACACTGGTTAAGCCATATCTACAAATTAGATGACCTAACAAACTTCTATAATTTAACGTTTAAAAACCAAATTTGCCTTAACCATCACACAGAGCAAATATTTCATTCAAACTATATGATAAATATTGAAGTTACCAGATTAATAAGAAAAACACATTGCTACCCCCAACTACAGTTTGTGATTGGAAACCTGCATAACAAAACTTGTTTCTCTGTTTTTAGGTACAATGCAGAGGTAGCACATATGGCACCAGTACTTACATTCAGTATTACTGGACCATTCACCTGCAAGTATTAACCTCATGTTTTTGTAGAACAGCACCACATACATTATATCTCTTGACTCAGTGAATAAGTGAATACAAGTGATGAGGAAGATATTAATTTTACAGAAAAGGAAATAGGCTCAGAATTTGAGCAACTGATTTATAGCTGCTTGCTTTATATAAGTTTGAATGGAAAGGTTCTGTAATGAAACCATTTAGCTATAAGATACCAAATAAGATCTCTCTAGCCTAGAAACCCCTCAGGGAACTAGTTATGGTTGTTCTGTTTAATTAAACTAATGCTTTACTGAGCACATTGTCATACACAATGTCATGCACATTTCAATGGTCATTTAATCTTAGCAACCCTATAAAGTGCTACCATAAATAGTACAATATCTTTTTTGCATTTATATGAGGAGCCTGACTTGAAGAATTAAGTAATTTGCCTAGGGTCACAAAGCTTGTAAATAGTTAAACTGAACTTTTTTAAACACTGGTTATCTTGCTCCAGAGTTCAAGTTCTCAACCACTACTGAGAAATTATTAATATATAGCTTCTAACTAGAGAAAATGAATCCATATTGAGCATTATATACCCAGATCTTATGACATGGGCTTAATTAATGTAATCCCTTTTCTTTTTTTTTGGTACCAGGAATTGAACTTGGGTCCTTGTGCTTGCTAGGCAGGTGGCAGAACCACTAAGCTAAATCCCTGGCCCCAACCTAATCCCTTTTACTACTATATGTTTTGATTTAGAACCCTGAGGAGGCTAATATTAAAAACAACAAAAAAATGTAAATAGCTGCCCACAGATTACAGAGTGCCCTATAGTGTGTCAAATGTACAATAAGGAATCTACATCTCACCAATGCCCACAGAAAGTCAATATAACATTTCTTCGAGTGATATGGTGTATACTGGCTACAGTCAAACCGGAAGAAAGGTATTCATAAATGAAAACTACAATGCCAATCAAAATTTGTTTATAGTCTGACAGGTAAAATAAGAGCTAGCTAGACAATGGATGTAAAAAAGGTTGAAAATATAGAGGCATTTACACTAGGTAAATATTTTAGGCCTTTAATCTCTCAGTTGGCAGTAAGTGGCTTTTAACAGCATTAGTAACTTTGGTATTTTCTTTCTACTGAAAGAATTGTTTTTCCCTGTATCTGGGGACTGAACCCAGTGCCTTTGCACTGAGCTACAGCCCCCAGCTGTTTGTTTAATTTTGACAGTCTCACTAAGTTGCCCAGAGTCTCACTAAGAGCTCAAGCTTGCAACCTTCCTACCTCAGTTTCTCAGACTTCTCGAATTAGAGACACGCACTACCACTCCTGGCTTCATCTCTTTTCTTTTATCCGACTGGTTTCCTAGTTAAAAATGAGACAAAACTTTGATAGAAAATCATTTAGTTACAGAAGTCAATCTCAAAATAGTTCACATAGACCACAGGAAATACCCCCAAAACTCTTCATTCTTCCTACCCCACTAGAATACAAGACAATTTATATTCTGTTCATCTACTACACCTGTCTTAGTCACTTTCTCATGGCTGGGACACAATACCCAGTACCCACAACTTAAAGGAGGAGAGGTTTATTCTGGCTCACATTTTAGAAGTTTCAGTCCTTGCATGGTCAGTAGCATGCTGTGGAAAGGCCTGCCATACAGGAAAACTACTCATCTTGTGGCAGCCTGGAAACAGCCAAGAAGGGAGTGTGGAGGGAGAGATCTTTTCAGGTCAGGCCCCCAGTGACACCTCTTCCAACCAGGCCCTACCTCCTAACATCACATTCAGTTACAGCACCTATTCAATCACCCTTTGAAAGTCCCTTCTAGCACATGAGGCTTTGGGGACATGCAGGGAATGCAATACTTTAACCAAAAAGTCCACAGAGTTCTAAAATATGTACAATGTAAGGCTAAAGCTTTTATTGTTAATGTTTGTCTTATAAAGTACTATCTGAGTATGTATATGGGGTTATGCTGGAAATAAGACTGTAGGCCATACAAAACCTCGAAGATTGCTAGGATTATGAGGAATCAAGATTTTAAAAAATTCAAAATTGGAAGAAAGGAGGACTGTACATAAAAACTAAGTAAAAGTTCATATGAGAATATATCACAAATACCCTGACCAGTTTCACTACCCATTGTGTTACAGGCATGTAAATGATACCATTCAAAGACCACTAAGGCAATAAACATAAAACCACAGCAAGACGTTTCTGCCCTCGAGGAATTAGAAATGAAGGGCAAGTAATTTCATCCCAATCCACTCAAAAGAAATGGAAACAAGTATCCATACAATGACTTGCATGTAAATGTGCACAGGAACATAACAGCCAAAAAGTGAAAACATTCCTAATGTCCATCAAGTAATATACAAAATGTGGCATATCCATACAATGGAATATTATATACAGCCATAACGAGTGAAATACTGACATATGCTGTAATAAGAATGAACTTCAAGGGCCGGGGATTTAACTCAGTGGTTCCGCCGCCTGCCTCACAAGCGCCAGGTACCGAGAGTTCGATCCAGGTACCAAAAAAAAAATGAATTTCAAAAATATGCTACATTTAAAACATCCAGACCGAAAAAAAAGGCCATATATATGATTTCATTGAGATGTCCAAAACAGGTAAATCTGTACAGTCAGAAAACAGGGCAATGGTTGACTATGGCTAGGAGTAGCATCAGAGATTAACTGCAAGTAAGCATGTTAGGGAACTTTTGAGGGAGATGGAAATGTTCTAAAACTGGATCGTACTGATGGTTGCACACTTCAGTAAATTTAGTAAAAATAATCTCTACACTTTAAGTGGGTGAACTTTAAAACTTCAAAAAGTTACACAGAATTACCTGCTAACCCTTAATTCTCCAAGGTATATATCCAAAAGAACTGAAAACAGATACTCAAGTAAAGTTGTATATACATATTCATTGCACCCCTACCATAACAGTCAAAAGAGGAAACAATACAAATATTCATCAAGTGAGGAATGGATAATAGCATATATAAACAAAATATCATTCATGATTAATGCTATGAGATGAATGAATCTCCAAAACATTATACTTTGTGAATGAAGACAAAAGCAAAAATCTATGTATAGAATGATTTCATTTATGTGATACATGTAGAATAAATAATCTATAGATACACAGTATAGACTGGCTGCCAAGGAAGAGAAAAATGGGGAGAAACTGTTTAGCATTAAGAGATTCACTTTGGAATAAAACATTTTGGAACCAGTCAGAGGTGATGGTGGTACAATATTGGAATATACTAAGTGGCACCAAATTGTCCATTTTTAAATGGCTAATTTTATGTTAAGCAATTTTCATTTCAACACATTTTTTTAAAAGCTAGAACTAAGGAGGTTAGCAAGGCTGCAGGATACAAGGGTCAGAAAACTATGACTTGTGGCCAAAACTAACCCTATTTTTTTAATCATTTAAAGCACATTTATTTATAAGTTGTCTATTATATTTTCTTACTGTAATAGGAAAGTTGAATAGTTGGAACAGAGACCATATGACCTGCAAGGCCTAAAATATTTACTACCTGATCTTTCACAGAAAACGTTTTCTAATGCCTGGGATATCAGATCAATATAGAAAAAATTGATTTTTTTAAAACAAATGCGTGTGCAAAGCGCTCACTTTCAGTAGATCACAGTAAGAGGGCTGCTCTGCTACATACAAACTCCCAAAGCAGGTCAGTTTTCTACAAATGATTTAGCACCAGATTCCCCAGAATGAATGTCTATGAGCAAAAGGTTGGCCCCCTTCTGACGAAACCCTGTTTCCCAGGACAAAGGGCTCCCACATCAGACCTTAGTCCCAGCACAAAAAAATAATGACTTCTATGCACTAATAATAATTAAAAATTGATATTTTAAGTACCATTTATAATAACTTCAAAAGCATGAAATATTTAAAATATAAATCTGACAGTCTGGAAAACTTCATCTCTGAAGAGCAAAATATGGCTGAGAAAAGTTAAAGAAGATTAAATACATGGAGATCTCTTGTTTGAAGACAATGTCATTAAGATGTTGATTCTCAATATATAGCTTCAACATAATCACAATAAAAACTCCAGATGATTTCTGGACAAACTAACATGCATGCGTGCATACACACACACACACACGCACGCACACCAGTTAACATATATAGCCCTACATATGAACAAGCAATTTTTAACAAAAGTGACACAGAGTAATACATTCTTCTCATATTCCCATGGAATAC